TAAGAAGCAGGTGTCATGAGCAGGAAGAGCAATATTGGGGGGGGGGGGGGGGGTCTGATTTAAAAGGTTAAACAAAAAATAAATTGATTAATTAACCATGATAGATGAGAGTTTGGGTATTTCGAAATTAATAAAAGCCGAGAAGGAAATTTATCACTATCCTTTTTTTTCCACCAGCAGGTTGTTCTCACTTCTTCCACAAAGCAAATGTAATTAAGAGTTGTTTACTTGAACAAGCTGCTAAGTCCTCATTAATGGGGCAGGGGTGGGGCAGATTGTGCATGAACGTGCACCACTTTGAACCATAGGACGTCAGTTTGAAACCATGCACAGTTTGTTGCTTAGATCTAGACAATAAAATCATGAGTTTTAATTTCGTCATCAAAACCACTTAGTCATGTTAAGATAATTATTATTACTATTATATTACTATCATTCTGGAGTCAATAAAGTACATCTTATCTAATCTTGAAGTGAGTTCTTCACACTGCATACATTCAATAACAAAACACAGCTTTGTTTGTTTCCAGGGTAATATATTAGCTCCAACATGACAACACAAACCAGTTTTCACAGCAGATTGTTTGTATAGCAAAAACTGAAGATGAAGATGTGAAATCATGGGCTGGTACCAATTATTTTTGTCATGTCTCCTCCCCTTTAATGCCAAGGAAAATAACACATTTCAAAGTATGTGAGCCCATCCTACCCATTAATGAGAGAACCTTTGTCTTTCAAATGGATGTGACAGAACACTTAATCATAACCTTCCATGTAAAATAATTATTTGTGGGTGAAGAAAACTTTTTTAGCAACGATTTGGCTGTTGCTTGTATAAAAAGCTTTAAAAAGTCTGTTTCTGTATAATTAGTATAATTAATAAAACAGCTCCACATTTGCGTGCTTAGCCATATGATGCCGCCATCATGGAATCAGCTCAACATCATACCTTAGCAGTCCTTTCCACAACACAGGCTTCCCTTTACATACAGCTCAATTCACTATTTGCTCAATATCTCCTTTGCTGGCTACAAAGGAACATGATTCATGTGCTCCAAATGTAAACTTTGAACAGGAGAATTTTCCTGCTATTTCTGAACCTCATCGTGGGCTGTACAGTGATGTGATGCTTAGCACCGTCGTCTCACAGCAAGATGGCACAAGGTTTGAATACCCGGGGATTTTGTGTGGAGGTTGTATGTTCTCGCTGTGCATATATGGATTCTTTCCATCCATGAACGTGTCCATAGGCTTGAATGTGTTGTTTATCTGGGATGGACTGGCAGTCTTTCCAGAGTGTATCCTGTCTCTCGGAAAAAAGGCTCCAGCCCCCTAACTACGAATAGGCAGTATAACAAATGAATGGATCGTTACGTTCACAAGCTTGTAAACAACTGTGACTCCTCGGAGACTACCGCACACCAGCAGGTGTTGGCAGCATGAGAATGGGATGTTCCTGGTGGCGTATAAGTGCTCCAAATTAGGGTTAGAAGTTTTGGCAATTTTTGAATAATGTGTGAAACAGTATGTGGTCCCACAGCATGCCACCATTTTTTACAACAACGATGAAACTAAAAAAAAAAAAAAGAAAGAAAAACTGATCAATTCAAATAATAATACGTGATTTTTTATTGGTTGTGAGGGAAAATCTGAGAGAAAGCAATTTGCTTAACCAGCTTTGACAAAGCATTTAATTTTCATTTGAAATTGCAGTGAACACAGATGTGCAGTAGGATACTGTCAGGGATTGGTGCTCCCTAAAAAAAAAATAGCAGCTTTCACTGAGGATACCATTTGTGTACGAGAAATGTGCGAATTTAGAAAAAAGCAAAACAAAACACATTTATAAGGTGACATTTTTTCTTAGTCACATGTGAAAGTTTTATTTTTGATGCCAAGCTTTTAACAAAATAATTCATTCTCATGATAATCAATAGTATTTAAGTAAAACCACTGGTTTTACAGGGCAAACAAGTCTCTCA